AAGAGTTTCATTTGCACAACATCCCTTGTTCCTCCACCTTTTAGCTGGAGAGAGATTTTAGAAAGAAACCTTCCTTGCCTGACCGAGTCTTAGATGGGATTAAAGGTACCAACAACTGTCCTTTTGGGCAGGGTTGCCAGGTGCCCGGTTTTCAATCGGAACACCCAGTCGAAAAGGGACCCTGGCGGCCCAGAGCCAGTACCCCATCCTGCACCCCAACCCCCTGCCTCAACCTGCAGTCCCCTACCGCACTCCGAATCCCTCGGCCCCACCCCCCAGCCTGGAGCCCCCTCCTGCACCCCAAACCCACTCAGCCTTGCCTAGCACCATGGTCAGCACACGGTCTCCCAAACAAACAGACCATGGCGTATTTCAGTCCAGCAGCAAGCACACCCCAACAAACTGTGACGTTATGAGTGTAATATAATATCTCATTGAAAGATGACAGTGCCAGAAAGAGTTAATTAACTCACAGACAGACCTGACATGGCTGAACTTTAGAGACTGGTTAGGAGGATCTGTAAATGAACAGAGCTTTGAAATGCAAGTCTGCATTCTTAGAGGTAGAAGGGGAGCTGTGTGCTCAGGTCTTGTGATGTTAGCAAACAAGTCTTGTCTATTGCTATAACTTTAATTCAAAGATCAAAAAAGGAATATTAACATTTAGGAAGACACTTGAGGGAAATAGTATTATTGTCTCTGTCTCTTTGAAGGTTGTGGTAACCTGTATCTGAACTGTGTAATGGATAAATTACCCTGTGCTAATTGCCATGATGTTTGGGAGAAGGAGAGTTAGGCCTATTGTTTTCTCAGGCCAAAAGGCTGCTGGAAATGTATAAAAACCCTGGGACACAATCCAACATCATCTCAGATCTGCTTTGGGTTTCAAGAGGGGGAAACCATAATAGAGGCTCAACTTAACTGGATCCCCCAAATTAAAAAACATAGTAAGAGAACCAAAAAAGTGCAACTGCGGCTAAACAACAAAGTTTAAGAAGCAGTGAGAGGCAAAAAGGCATCCTTTAAAAAGTGGAAGTTAAATCCTAGTGAGGAAAATAGAAAGGAGCATAAACTCTGGCAAGTGAAGTGTAAAAATATAATTAGAACATAAGAGCGGCCAGACTGGGTCAGAGCAAAGGTCCATCTAGCCCAGTATCCTGTCTACCGACAGTGGCCAGTGCCAGGTGCCCCAGAGGGAGTGAACCTAACAGGTAATGATCAAGTGGTCTCTCTCCTGCCATCCATCTCCACACTCTGACAAACAGAAGCTAGGGACCCCATTCCTTACCCATCCTGGCTAATAGCCATTAATGGACTTAACCTCCACGAATTTATCCAGTTCTCTTTTAAACCCTGTTATAGTCCTAGCCTTCACAACCTCCTCAGGCAAGGAGTTCCACAGGTTGACTGTGTGCTGTGTGAAGAAGAACTTCCTTTTATTTGTTTTAAACCTGCTGCCCATTAATTTCATTTGGTGGCCCCTGGTTCTTATATTATGGGAACAAGTAAATAACTTTTCCTTATTCACTTTCTCCACACCACTCCTGATTTTATATACCACTATAATATCCCCCCTTAGTCTCCTCTTTTCCAAGCTGAAAAGTCCTAGCCTTTTTAATCTCTCCTCATATGGGACCCATTCCAAACCCCAATCATTTTAGTTGCCCTTTTCTGAACTTTTTCTAGTGCCAGTATATCTTTTTTGAACTGAGGAGACCACATCTGTACGCAGTATTCAAGATGTTGGCATACCATCGATTTATATAAGGGCAATAAGATATTCTCCATCTTATCTCTATCCCTTTTTTAATGATTCCTAACATCCTGTTTGCTTTTTTGACCGCCGCTGCACACTGCGTGGACGTCTTCAGAGAACTATCCACAATGACTCCAAGATCTCTTTCCTGATTAGTTGTAGCTAAATTAGCCCCCATCATATTGTATGTATAGTTGGGGTTATTTTTTCCAATGTGCATTACTTTACATTTATCCACATTAAATTTCATTTGCCATTTTGTTGCCCAATCATTTAGTTTTGTGAGATCTTTTTGAAGTTCTTAACAGTCTGCTTTAGTCTTAATTAGGAAGGCCAAAAGAGAATTTGAGGAACAGTTAGCCAAAGACTAAAAAGTAATAGCAAAAAAAATTTTAAGTACATCAGAAGTAGGAAACCTGCTAAACAACCAGTGGGGCCACTGGATGATCGAGATGCGAAAGGAGCACTCAAGGACGATAAAGCCATTGCAGAGACACTACATGAATTCTTTGCATCAGTCTTCACAGCTGAGGATGTGAGGAGATTCCCAAACCTGAGCCATTATTTTTAGGTGACAAATCTGAGGACCTGTCCCCGACTGAGGTGTCATTAGAGGAGGCTTTGGAACAAACTGATAAATTTAACAGTAATAAGCCACCAGGACCAGATGGGATTCACCCAAGAGAGCTGAAGGAACTCAGATGTGAAATTGCAAAACTACTAACTGTAGTTTTGCGGATACAGACTAACACGGCTGCTACTCTGATAACTGTAGTTTGTAACCAGCATTTAAATCAGTTTCTGTACGAAATGACTGGAGGATAGCTAATATGATGCCAATTTTTTAAAAGGGCTCCAGAAGTGATCCCGACAATTACAGGCTGGTGAGCCTGACTTCAGTATTGGGCAAACTGGTTGAAACTATAGTCAAGAACAAAATTGTCAGACACGTAGATGAACATACTTTCTTGGGGAATAGTCAACATGGTTTATGTAAAGGGAACTCATGCCCCACCAATCTACTAGAATTCTTTGAGGGGGTCAACAAGCATGTGGACAAGGGGGATCCAGTGGACATAGTGTACTTAGATTTTCAGAAATCCTTTGACAAGGTCCCTCACCAAAGGATCTTAAGCAAAGTAAGCTATCATGGGATAAAAGGGAAGGACCTCTCCTGGATGGGTAACTGGTTAAAAGATAGGAAACAAGGGGTAGGGATAAGTGGTTAGTTTTCAGAATGGAGAGGGGTAAATAGTGGTGTCCCCCAGGGGTCTGTACTGGGCCCAGTCTTTAACATTCATAAATGATCTGGAAAAAGGGGTAAACAGTGAGGTGGCAAAATTTGCAGATGATACAAAACTACTCCAGGTAGTTAAGTCCCAGGCAGACTGTGAAGAGCTACAAAGAGATCTCTCAAAACTGGGTGACTGGGCAACAAAATGGCAGATGAAATTCAGTGTTGATAAATGCAAAGTAATGCACATTGGAAAACATAATCCCAACTATACATATAAAATGATGGGATCTAAATTAGCTGTTACCACTCCAGAAAGAGATCTTGGAGTCATTGTGGATAGTTCTCTGAAAACATCCACTCAATGTGCAGCAGCAGTCAAAAAAGCGAACAGAATGTTGGGAATCGTTAAGAAAGGGAGAGATAATAAGACAGAAAATATCATATTGCCTTTATATAATTCCATGGTGTGCTCACATCTTGAATACTGCGTGCTGATGTGGTTGCCCCATCTCAAAAAAGATATATTGGAATTTGGAAAAGGTTCAGAAAAGGGCAACAAAAATGATGAGGGGTCTGGAACGGCTTCCTTGTGAGGCGAGATTAATAAGTCTGGGACTTTTCAGCTTGGAAAAGAGACGACTAAGGGGGGATATGATCGAGGTCTATAAAATCGTGACTGATGTGGAGAAAGTAAATAAGGAAGTGTTATTTATTTCTTCTCATTACACAAGAACTAGGGGCCACCACATGAAATGAATAGGCTGAATGATAAAAGTGAGGGGCAAACACTGCAAGGGATTTCTCTCCCTGTCCCTGTCCATCTCCCTCTTTGCCCCTAAGAATACAAAAGAACAAACCGCTGGACTATGGTCTGAAGATTTTGGTCAGTAATACCGCCTGAAGGATGTGGTAAGGAATTTACCTGTAATCAAATCTAGTTTGTTACGTTGGGAAGTGCTTGTCTTTCTTTTTCTTACAGCCATTGCTGACTTTTATGCCTCATGACTTGTACTCAGTCTTACTTAAGATCCTATCTTCCTTTGTTGTTAATCTGGTTTTATTGTTTAATCCAATCCAGTGTGTTTAAATTACATTGTCTGGGTAACTCCATTTAGAGTGGCAAGTTGTGTATACGTTTTGGGGAGGAATCCGGGACTGGGGATGTGTTGTGGGAACCCAGGTTACAGGGCAAGAGATGAGACGGGTCTGGAGAACTCTCCCGTATGTCACAATAGTTACAGTGACTTCCCAAAAATATCACAGTACAATGCTCACTGCTCAACACACGCACACAACTGTCATTAAAATATACAAATCGATATTTTTGTATGTATATTCATAATGTGTTTTATAACAAACTAGTCACAGACTGTGCATTGCAGTGTGGTTTTGGGGGCATGGTTTCCGATGTGAGCATTGAGGGTGATGGTATTGCTGACGAGGAAGTGACAGCACTAGAGAGGCCGTTAGTGTGTTGGTGGCAGGAAGGTAATGCTTGGAGACTGGCAGTGTGCTGGGTGTGAATGGAATCTATAATCTAGAACTGCCTTGGTTTTGGTATTAGGCATGCGAGGAAATACACTTGAACAACCTGAACTCTAATTTAACAATAACTGTTGTGTGGGGATGAGCATCTTCCATGGGCTTAGACTTCTGAGTCATGAACTATCAAGAGACTAATTCATGCACATACCTTGTTGCCACCTTAACTATGGAGCTCCTAAAGTGCCTCCATAATCCTCCTAGATCTGATGTCCTGGAAGAATGCTCAAGGCCTTGGTCTTGGGTTGGCTTTCTCCTCCTCCTGTGTTCGGAGCTGGAGATGCAACAGACACTTATAATAATTGGCCGGTTGGTTCTTTCCATGTAAGGACACATGAATCCAGTTCAGCAGCAGCCAGTGCAGTGACGGTGTCTGCCGTCACGTGAGTTGGGAGGAGTGTCTGTTGCTCATCAACCGCGGTCACAACATCAGGCTTACGTGGTTTCTTCCTTTGTTTCCTACAGGTTCATGAAGGTGGCTGGCCGCACCGTGGATGCTGTTACCTGGCAACAGTAGGTATTCACCATTCCTTTTACTTTCCACATAGCAGCTCTGCAGCAATGCGATGTTGTTGTTTAGGGCAGAGTTAACATCTTGTCTAGGGTCACACGGTCACTGTGAAAGGGACAGACCCCTGGAAACCACCTCCTCAGCCACTGGACTGTGCTTAAATGGCGGGAAAGGCCGTCCCCTGGCAGCTCAATAGGACACACGCCCTGGCAGGGATGCATTAGCCTTTGGTATTCCCCTGGGCTGGGCGTGTAAGAGATTTAATAATGGCTTCTCCAGTCTAGCAGAGACAGGTCTAAAGAGCCAGTGGCGGGATAAATTAAGGCTGGAAATAGGGCGTACATTTTTAACAGTGAATGTAATTATCCATTGGGACAACTTAGCAAGGGCTGCGATGGAGCTCCAGCGCTGGCACTGCCTTTCTAAAGGATCTGGGCTAGGAATTACGTCGGGGCCGTTCTCTGGCTTGTGCTAGACAGGAGGCCAGACTAGGTGATCACAGTGACCCTTCCGGCCTTGGAATCTCTGAATAACTAGTCACCCCTCCCAGGCTACCAAATTGCAGAAAGGGGAAAAAACTCTCCCCCAGGCTTCCTTTGTTGCCTGGGTTCCTGATACCTAGTAAGGTAGGCAGACAGCATCCGGGTTTGGCAAGGCTGCACGGGACAGGTGAGAAGGAAGCTGCATGTGGTGCGCCACTGGACAATTTGAAAGTCCTTCTGTGTATCCTGCTTCTCTTTGCACCTCTGGCTGTTGCCTCTCACAGGCTGGTGGCCTGGATCTAAACCCACCGGAGCCAGAGGGAGAAAGACCCAGTCCAATGGTAAATACATTACTGCCCCAGGAGTAGATTCTCTGGCTTCTGGATTCTCTGCCACCCTACATAGGTGCCCGGGGGAATCCACCTATAGGAATAACCTACAAACCACTGCACAGCACTGTAACTAGGATACAGGGCCGGAGAATAGATTCCCACAGAAATCTTTTATGTCAGCTCCCAGATTCCAGTCCAGGATGGGCTTGTTAGCAAGAGGTTAATGCTTGATTTCTCACCTGACTCCCCAAATTACAAAAGGAAAGTGTTAATAGCGCCATTGGCAGAGAGGCTTGGAGCATGTTCGAGTGTCATGGGTAAGGCGAAGATTTTGTCAGGGGTATTTTTAGTAAAGTCACGGACGGGTCACGGGCAATAAAGAAAAATTCCCGGAAGTCCATGACCTGTCCCTGACGTTTACTGAAAATATCCCTGACAAACCAGGGAGCCCAGCTGCCTGCAGAGGTTGGGCAGCTGCGGGGGCCGCTCCGAGTTCTGCGTGTCCCTGTCCCCCTCCCGCCTGTGGGGGCTTGGAGCTCTGGGTACCCCCGCCACCTGTGGAGACCGGGAGCTTTGCAGGATCCCCGGCGCCCACAGCAGCTCAGAGCTCGGGAACCGCCCCCTGCGTTGGCCGGGAGATGCAGGGCAGGTGGCGTGCAGCCCCCGAGCAAAGGGCAGTCCCCCCCTGCTCCCCCCAAGCACGGGCCGAACAGCCCCAGTGCCTCCCCCCCGCCCCCTCCCCCCCCACCACACACACAGCACTGGGCAGCCCCAACCACCACAAGTCCTGACCGCCCTAGCCCCAGCACGCTGCTTCTCTGAGGAGGAGCAACATGCCGGGGCTGGGGTCAAGGGGGAGGGGCAAGCACTTAGCAGGGCTTCGGGGAGGAGCGTGAGTGGGGCCATGCAGGGCTGGTTGGGTCGGCACAGCCTTCCCCAGCCTACGGGACGCGCCGCCCATGCCCCTAGGAACCTACCTATGATCTAGGGAACAAGCCGAGCCCCACGCACTCCCCTGACAACGAGGGGCACGTTACAAACCAGGGGCTGCAATCCATACCCTGACTAGCGGCACTGAGCACCACAGGGTGTTGGCTTTTGTGGTGTAAATTATTCCATGTCCTCTCCCCTTCCCCGTGAGCCTCAGCTTTCCAGGTTCGTCTTTGATTGCTTGCACGGGCACATTCCACTGCAGGTGCGTTCCCTCCGCGAGGCCCAGCCGGGTGGTCCGAGAGCCCTCTGTCGCCACCCTGGTGTGAGAGGGCAGAACAACCCTGCCCCCTCTCAGCTCCTTCTTGCTGCCACTGATGGTGTCAGAGCACTGCCAGGCTGCTTGTGACAAATGGGTTCCCCACTCCTGTGTGTCTATCGCCTGTTGCTGTTAGACATTAGCCAGCTCTCAGTGCTAGGTTTGCATTTTAGGCCTTTTTTGACCACTTTTTATCTTTCGTTACCGGGATCGGTACCAGAACAATGCCCAGCTCTCCGGGGCTACGTCCTGCTGGCCTTGTGCTAAGCCTGTGCCAGTCGGCGCCCCACACCTGTCCTGCTTACGCCACTTGGGAAAATCCCACATTAGGGACAAATGTCCCGTTTGTAAAGGGATCAAGCCCCGCTCAAAGGCAACACAGAGGCTCACGTGCTTACTTATGGAGGCAGCACTTTGCCCTCCATCAGAGTCATCGCTTGGGGGAAGCACCCACAGGACGTCCGTTTCAGTGTGGAGATGTCCTCTGTCCCCGTCGCTGGTACTGAAGAAAAGGCTCAGGCCTTCCTCAGGTTCAGTACCGGAGCCAAGTAGAGGCAGAGACTCTGCGAAACATTCAGGGGAGGGGCTCTCCCTGGAGCACTCCTCGCCTAGCGAGAGGAGATTGCTGCCTCTGGAACCTCTGGCAGGTCTGTCAGGCCGTCCCCTGAAAGATCTCTGCAGCGCCCTCCCAACCACTCTGGAGACATGCGCAGCCGCAAGGAACCTGCTTAGCCTCTTGGTACCAGCTCACAGGCAGTACTAGAAGGTTTACAACCAGCACCGATGCCTGCACCTACCTCGCTGCGTCAAGAGCCTACAGTATTGTTACCTCCCAAGCGTCCACAAAAGCTGGAGCAGTCAAGGGGCAAACCTCCGAGGGTGTCGCCAGTACTGCCACCCCTCTCAGTCTCAGCGGGCTCTGCCCCTCCATCGTCAGAGCTATCAGACTCTACTTCTGCTGACTCGGAGGTGAGGTCATCCGTATCCCATTCGGGTTGGGGAACATCCCGCCCCTCAGTCCTGGGCACCATGGGCCAGACAGCAACCGCAGCACTGGCCTCCTTCTAAGTGACAATGGACCAGATGAGGATGGGTCCAGGCCTGTACCAGTGGCAGGTCTGGGCATCGTGGGACATCACCTCTCCAGCTAGGACCTCCCCTCGACCCTCTTGTTCACTATCTTCAAGAGCACTTGGGGGCATTGGCACCCAGGGTCTCCAGCTCCAGTTCCCCATACCAAGATCAGTACCAACCAGCCGGAAGTCTCTCAGGCAGCTTCTTCACCACAAGACATTGGTCAGCCCCCACCTCAAAGTCTGTGGCATCCTCGTCTCACAGGGGAGCTGGAACAATGTTTATAGTGAGGCTGCTGAGAGCCATTGAACCAAACTGTAAACCCTGGATATACTGTAATGGAAACCAGTTTCGGGGGGGGGGGTGGGGGCAG